CGTCCTGCTCACAGTACACAGCACGTGGACTCAGGACAAGGGAATCCTATCATCCCATCCCTCCCATCCTCAGTGGAAGGGAGGGATGTTCTGTAGGAACCCGTCCCAGGCCACTGGGGACAACTGACAGTGTGCACTTAGCACTGAATCTCAGAAGAGTCATTTGTTGTGCAGCTCTGCTCGGACACGTGGGGTTATGTCACCATAATAAAAACATAAACAAAGGCGGGTGGGGGGAGGGGCTGGGAGAAAAGACAAAATGAAAACCAAAATCAAACCCTGCAGAAGCTGTCATGTGTGGACTGTACCAAGACTCATTTCTGCATTGTCTTTGAGTTGGTGTCAATTTGTTTTTCCAAAACAAAAGCCCCAGCCTTTCATATCAGTAACTATGAAAATACATTTTCAGGCCACCTTGCCTAGAATCCCCCATTGTGGCTGTTGGATAACCATCTGTCTTGTAAGTGGCTATTGTTACTGTGATCTGTCCCTTTCATACCTTTCATTATCTTCCTGAAAAGCCTTTTCTGAAAGTAGTCCATTAGGGCAGGGAAAGAAAAACCTCAGTGCATGGCCACGCAGCAGAATCAATGGCTCCCTTTGATCTGCAAGCTCAGTCAGTACTACAAATTTAAGAAACAACACGGTTTTGCTTTGCTAAGCAAAGCCTGTTAATTTGGCTCATCTGCACTCATAGCATCTTACTGAAAATGCCATCTGTATCAGATGTTTTAAGACTTTGGTGCAATACTCGTTTAGATAAATAATTTTGTAAGATTCATTAAAAAATAATCAGAGAATTAATTTTCATAGTGTATATCTATGCACGTAATTTTTAAAATTCAATCCTCTACTACCCTGAATGGTGGTGAGGATATTCACAGTGGATGAAAAAAATGCTGGTTACTAATGGAATAAGACTGAACATAGTTTTTTCTTATTCTAGTCATGGAATTTCTAGTCATGGGATTTCCTCTGAAATCTACTACGAGTGTTTGAGTCCTATTACTGGCAAGAGCAAAATGCATATGCACTACATGGAAAATAAAACCTTTTATGTCTGTTGCAGGCCACACATTTAGTACTGAAAACTTAGCTCCTATCATGACAAAACAAGTCCACAAAAACATAATTTCATGCTACTGAAAGGAAATCTTTTGTGCTGATATAAAGGACAGGAGTGTATACCACTGAAATCACCATAGATAGCTATAAAACACTATGCAATATATAGAAAACTCTAAGAACATACAAAATTTACCAGTAGGGACTTGAAAGTGCAAAGAGTACACATAACTAAATACCAAGTCCTGATCTATAAAATCCTTTATGAACGACATACAGCTGATAATTACAAAGCATCATTCAGACCACCAAATAACAAATGAAACAAATGAAGAAAAATATACTTTAAGGAAATCAAAACAATTACACCATTGGGAATGTTATCTTTGGGACTCAGAACATCATTTCTACCTCAATACCTACCAAAGCCAAGGAAAATATATGCTTGAACAGGGTAACACAAATAAGAATGCAAGCTACCACAAAATGCCTCAGGACTATTACCTCTTTATGTCTCAGCCTTTAAATCCAGCAAGCCATTAACTGTTTGTTCTTAGGCATCTCACATATTTTACAGGGATCTTTCAGGAATTATGTATAGGTCTAAAGAAAGCCTTTGAACCTCCTTTCAATGATTGTTTTAGGCATTGTGTGGAGTTATACAAATATATTTGTATGAAAATTGAAAGCCCTGGTAAATATTCAATCTTCTATTACCTTTTGAAATAAAAAGCATAGATGGTTTAAAGAAAAGCGAATTTTAGAAGCACAAAAGTAATTTGAACATTAAATTGTGTCTTTACTCTCACACAACCATTACCCTGAATCAACGTCAGCATGTCGCAATGATTCAAAACACTGACACCCTACTACCAGCTACTTTCCCATTTTCCTTTTAAGGATATGATTGTCCTTAAAATATGTACATAGCAAGCAGCCAAACAAACCACCAAGAGGTTTTCAAATTGTGCTTAGATTGGGTTTGTGACAGAAAGCTTGAGGCCATGGAGCACCTTGGCCTGGGCAGCTGCCCTCCCACCCACGCTCCACGCCAGCCCAGGGCTCCTCGCTCCCGGGTTAGCACCGAGGAGGAGGCTGCCCCATGCAGAGCATGGAGGGAAAAACGTGGCAGAAAACAAAGGAAAGAGAGAAGAATGAAGGGAAGCCAAAGCATTTTAATGATGATTCGTGTTAGTGGTTACGTGAGAGGAAGTTAGTCTAGTGTCACACTACTGGTTTCTCAATACAGACATGCCACAATGCAAACAAAACACATATGATGAATAATTTGACACACACAAGTCCTGTAGAGATGGCAGCTGGTATCTCCTAATGGGTTTAAAGATGCACCACTCCTACTACCTGTACCCACTGCTTCCAGTTTTTATGGTACTACCACCACATCCTCCCTCCCTCTCAACTTCCAGTATGCTGTAGAATGTCTCAGTACAATTTTTCCTAGGAACAAAATGGGAGATTATGATTATTCTTCAGAGTTGTCATGCAAGGAAAAATGCATCCCTCACAGTCAAACAAAAACAAAAGAACGGGAAAAGGAATGTCATGTTTAGGGCTGAGGAGCAGGATAATATTCCGTGTTCTGTACATACATCCTTTAGAGGGTGTTTCAGCTTTGACTTTCTGAAATGCACGAGTGGAGTCAGACCAAATGCAAATCCCTTTCTCAGGCAAAGGAAACCATGGCCAGCGTGTTTGGAGGTGGATATGGAGCACAGCTCCCAGGCAATGCATGGGAGCGCTCACAGGAGTGCGAGTGTGAGTGTGAGTGAGTGTGAGTGTGCACAGGGAGCGCCTCGGCTGGCGCAGGGACCCTGCCAGGGCTGCGCGCTCGCTGCACATGCATATGGCATATGTACAACACGCCTGCGTGAGTGGGCACACAGGGAACCACACACCTCCATGTCACGAAGAAAACATAAAATAATCCTCTTTGAAGTGTATTAAGGTTCTTAAACCATGAAAACAGGGGCTGGTCAGGGAAGCTAACACTTTCACTGGGATGCTGCAAGTTGGTCTTAAATTCTGCAGCAATTTCAAACGGGATGTCAATTTCACCTTCATGACTCTAAGGTCATTTCCCCAGTGAACCATGAATCATGCATATACATATATACAATTCTTATTATGGTATTTCCTGGCTTTTTATGGCTTGCCTACAACCTTAATATCCTTCAAATGTATATTCTGTATATTTATTTTCCTTTTTTTTTCTTTTGATTTAAGAGACAATAAAACCAACTGCTATGTAAGATCAGACCCATTAGTTTCAATGATGTGGATTTAGGATTCTCTGCATAATATAGAAATGTATATTTTTAAAATGTATATTATTTTTTAGATACGCTGGAGCATATATTTTATATTAACTGTGGTCTGATGATTAAATACTTATATCAAAATATTTTGTAAATACATAACATTTACCTTTAGACTTCAGTGATTTTTAGAGTTTTTTCAGTGTATCATAAAAATATGTCCTCAGGCACATTAAAACCCTATTATATTTCTTTGAAATGTTGCCAATGTCCATGTACAGTAGCCACTATTCAAAAATGTCATGGCCATTAATACATTTTTCCTAAGATCCAAGCTCATCAGACCATTTTATGTACCACTAGCTTACCATATTTTTTTCTCTCTTAACATAAAATTATTCTGATATTATTGAGAATGAAAATAAAAAGCAATGAGAACCCAAATTTTTTTAAATAGTCAAAAACTAATTTTTTATATTTTAAAAAATAATACTTAAAAAACAAGTTTCTTTGCTGGGTTCCTTCTCGGTAAGGTTTAAGCCCAGATCAACTTTTGTCTAAACCCCTGAAAATAGAGGTTTGCAGTGGCAGTGCTGTCAGAACATCAGCTCTGAGCCATGGAATGTGCCACTGGAATAAAATCAGCACTTCAGACTTACTTATCTGGGGATGCATGAGCCCATACAAACCAGAGTTTTTCTCTAATTTAAGGTACTTACACAAAGTTCTATCCTTTTAGAACTGTAAAATTATCTACCTATAAAAACTAACTCTTGCTTAAACTCTAGATAATAAGGACAGGCGATTTTTTTTTTAATAAAAAATCTGCTAAAACACATATATATTTACACATGGCGAGCAAGTTATTGTATAAATGTGGACAGTGTGTATATATTGGCATTTAGTAAAATGTTTCCCTGAACCTGATTGTATGCATTATCGGACAAGTATTGATGTAAACATCTGAACCTACGTCAGGTGTCTCTGTTATCCATTTACATTAGACCAGATCAAAACCAACCAGACAGACAGACAAACGAAAATATGTTTTCCTGTTAGACGAGTCCACCTAACTCCTTAGTTTTATCTCCTGCACACAAGTCAATCAAGTCTGCTGCTGAGCAGTGTTCTCGTTCCTACAGCAGGTGAAATACCTGTTAGGTGGGTTGTTTTCTGCTTGGCATTTTTTCCAACATCTTGTGGGGCTAACATCATTTCCAGAGCCAGCCAGGCACCCAGCCTCTACTCCTCCCCCAGAAATGATTAAAAGATAAGTGTATAGGAGAACCTCTCATGTCGCTCCTTTTGTAGCTCTGTTCCCTTGAAGAACTCATGACACTGCTTTACACGACGAAGGATGGTCATAATCCAAGTCCTGCTTCCAGAAAGGCATGTAAAAATGAACCTCCCCAGTGTTTAGTGTTGCAGAAAAAAGATACAAATGTAAAAAAAGTGCTCAAAAAGAAGTTGACTTTTTGTATTCAGCCATACAGTCTAGTAAGAAGAGACTCAGAAGTGCTGGCCCACAGAGTACAGTGAAGGAAGCCTTTTAGGTGACTTTCTTCAGGTGATGCAAAACTAATTCATTATCTGCGGTCTCCTATGCAGATTTTCCCACATGGACTTCGTTCTCTGCGTTTGCCTCCACCTCTTACCCAACTACTTTTTGGCACTGTCCTGGTACATGGCAGTTTTCACTGTTGTCCCTGTTACTGACCCAGCTACGCCCCTGTTACTGACTCGGCGTACCAGGACTTTAGAGACGGGGATTTTTGTTCTGTGCATCTCACTTTTGGCCAGGTGATGGTGTGCAACGTGATGGCTGTTACTGGCATCTGCTCCATGGCTGGCAGGATGCGAGGAAAGGTGTTTAATGCTGATGGGTATCTTGGAGTCCTTCGCGCTGCTGGAGGGTGTTTTCAGTGAGCTCACGTTCCTTATTGGAGACACGGGCTTGGAGCGTGGCACACTGGGGACTTCGTTTGTGGGCCCCGCTGGTGGGTTCTCATCTGGCTCAGCATAAAGGTCATAGAGAGCATCCCCACTGTAGCTATCCCTGGGAAGGGTTTCCTTCTGGATGCTTGTGGAACTATCTTCCTCGGGACCAGGGGTGGTGGAATCCCAGTAGCCCTCATCGCTGTTTGGGACACCCTCGTGCTGCTCCTTTTCCCTGCTCTTCTGCTCCTCTTTGTGGTTCAGGTGAATGGCAATCTGGTGGAGGCCACCACGTTTCACCACCACCCTGTTCTGGGCCCCCTCGGTACCTCGGGTTTCCTTCAACCCCTCGGGCTTCTTTGTCCCTCCTCCGCTTCCTCCTCCTTGCGTCTGAGTCTCGTCTGTCTGTGACAGCATATCCCAGAACTCCTGCAGGCAGGTGTCATCCACCTGGTCGGGGCTGGCCATCTCCTCCCCTCCTCCCTGGTAGGCCACCATGGTGGGGTGCTTCTTGGTGGCACCCAGCTTGCTGGGCCCGGGGGTGCTCTTCTCGCAGACGCCACTCCCGCCGCCCACATCCTCCTCATGGTCCGCAATAATATCTCCGCAGCCTGTAAGAGAGTCAAAGCTTTTCAGTGAAGTCACGTCAGCAAACATCAAACAAATACGATCAATCGATTGCTCTGAGGGTGGATCAACAGAGGAAGGGTCAGGGGCGGCTGCCGTCTCTTGACCGCTATCACAGTGAGGTTCAACAGGGGGGATAGTCGTTATTGGAATGTCACCTGTTATCGCTGCATCCTTCGCAGTCCCAACCTCTCCGGCGGCCGGCTCCGGTCGCTGGCGGCTGAGCTCCTCGGGTGGCCGCACGGCGGCGGGCGGCTCCTCCCGGGGCGGGGGGCTGCTGGCCCGCGGCTCCCCTCGGGGCTCCTCGGCCGCGGCGGGCGCCTCGCCGCTGCGCTTCTCCCGCGGCGGCTCCGGCCCGGCGTCTCCCGCGCCGCTCGGGCTCTCAGACAAAGGTTTCGGCGTCTCCTCCTTGATGCACTCCAGGCTGGCGGTCAGGGACCCTGGCATGATAAGGCCGGACGGGATGTCTGAGGTTTCCCCCCTCTCCTCCTTGCCGTTTTTGTCCCTTTTGTGCCACCGCATGCTGCTGAAGATCCCCTTCAGCCCCTTCTTTTGTCTGCCGCCGACCCGCGGCTCCGCGCCCTCCGCCTGCCTGCCGTTCTTCCTCAGCAGCGAGAAGAAGCTGTGCGACTTGGCCACCGCGCTGCCGGCGGGGCCGCCGAGGCTGCCGGCCGGCCGCTCCTGCGCCTCGCGGCTCGGCGCGTCGCCGCCGCCGGGTTCCTCCTTCTTGCTGCTCTCCAGCACGGCTTCGGCCAAGCCGTCGTGCGTCCGGCTCCGCACCATCCCCGGCTTGCCGGCGCCCTTACCCTCCCCTCCTCTGCTCCGCACCCCGAAGATGCTCGGCATGGTTCCCCCGGACTTCCTCCTCCTGAAAAGCTTGAAAGCGGTTTTGTTAATCCTGCCCGACGGCTGCTCGGCGGCCGGGGGCTCGACACAGTCGCAGTGCGAGTCCATTTCTGCCTCTGCCGCTGCTGCCGCGGCCGCCGCGGCTTCCCCTCCGCCGCGGAGCGCGGTGCGATCCCTCAGTGACAGCCCCGCCGCCGCCGCCCGCCCGTCTCCATGGCAACCCGGCGGAGGGAGGGAGGGAGGGAGGGAGGAGATAAGCCGCTTTCCCCCTCCGCCGCCGCGGGCCCGGCCGCCGACGCCCGTTCCGAGCCGCCCCGCGCCGCCGCAGCGCCGCCCGCCCCGCGGCCCTTACATAACGCGGCCCCTGCCCGCCGCCCGCCGCCTCTGCCGCGCACAGCCGGGCTCTCGGGTGCCCCGGGAGCGTGCCGCGCCCGGGCGGGCAGAGCTCGGCTTTTATTTGTGACGGCGTTGTGCATCGCCGCTGTGTCCCGGCGGCACGGTCGCTCCACGCTCTGGACCGCGAGCATTGCGTGGCTGAAGCCCTGGGCTGGGGGATGCAGCGAAGCGCTCGCAGCGCCGAAAAAGGGCCGGGGTCGCTGGGGGGTGGTGGCGGTCTGCAGGTGCCAGTGCACCACACGACAGGGACAGACGGGTGGGAAAATGGGACACACAGGCAGAACCCGGTACGCAAATACTCCCGGGGGCAGAGGAAAAGGATGCTAAGTTCCCCCCACTCCCCTTGCTTTTCCATCTCCCACCTCATCAGGACAACTCTCACCGTCCCCGTGTCCCTCTTTCTCCGCAGTGCCCGGGGCCACATGTGCCCAATGCCGACGACCAGAGGGGAGCAGTGGTACAAGCTGGGGCACAGCCCGGCCTTCTTTCCAGTTGCTTCCCCTGCCAGGGAGGGGGAGCACGGTGGCAGCCTCCACACAAACCTTCTCCTGGCCCCTGTAGCCACTGCGCACAGTCATGGCACCCAAGTCATGTCCATGTCGAATTGCCACCAGGGATGATGGTCAGCTGTCCAGTCACATCAGGGTGGCTGGCATCACCCTGACCACAAACTCTTAACTGGCTGCAAAGCGATCCCAGGTGAGAACAGAACAGAGCAGAGCAGAGCAGTTGGAAGGAACCTACAACGGTCATCCAGCCCAACTGCCTGACCTAAGGGCCTAAAGCACATATTGTCCAAATGCCTCTTAAACACTTTGGCAGACTCAGGGCATCAGCCACCTCCTTAGAAAGCCTGTTTGAGTTTTTAACACCCTCTCAGTAAAGAAATACATCCCAATGTCCAGTCTGAACCTCCCCTTTGAATCATTCCCATGCATCCTGTCACTAGATACCAGGGAAAAGAGCTCAACACCTCCCTCTCCACTTCCCCTTCTCAGGATGCTATAGAGAACAGAGAAGTCACCTCTCAGTGTCATTTTCTCTAATCTAGACAATCCTGGCCAAAATAACCAGCCCTGGGCTCCAGACTCACTGAACTCTCGGCTGGGTTATTTCAGCTCGGGGCAGTGCTCTGCACCAGAGCTGCAGAGCAGACCTGCTTGCACCCAGAGCTGTAATAGTGCCTGTACCCTGGCAGCCCAGCTGTGCCATACAGCACTCATGTGGGCTGCTCAAAACAGAAACATTTATATGGGTTTAAGCTCTAAATGCAAGTGAGTACCACTAAAGAGAAGTCGTGTGTGGGCCCACTGGCATGGAGCTCCCTTAGAAGTCAGTAAAAGGCTTTGCCATTAACTTCACTGGCTGGAAGAATTAGTTGTAGGTTTGGGTGTTTTTTTAACATCATCAGACATTCATTGCACTCTCCCATGAGAGCAGGTTAAATTATCTGTTGTGAATAATTTATCCAGTGAATTTAGTCCTGTTCATGTATAAAAGTGCCATTTGCATTCAGAATTAGAAGTGTTCAATAAGAGCAATATGAGCGAGCACATCATTCAACTTACAGGTCTCTTCTGCCTTCTGCCAGAGACAGAGGAAAGGACAGATGAGGCAGAAACCAAGATACTGGCTGGAGGAGGAGGAGTGAGTTACATTTTACAGAGTACAGCTTGTAAACGTGCCCAGCACCCAGAAGCCACAGACAGGGGAGACCAGAACTTTGACGCAGAGGTGCAAGTTCTTCACCTTGACTGTGCCTCCATCAGTGGTACCACATCATGAGTTTCCCCATTACTTGGTCATATTTCTGCTTTTTACACAAATGAAGGAAACTTGATAAAAGAGAAATAATACCAAATGCTTTTGAGAAAATTCAAATACAAAGAGCCAGGCATACTTTCGAAATTCAAAAGATCAAACCCTGAACATGTATCTTGGGGAAAAAAATGGGTAAAAAGTCTTAACAAGTAAGACTTGGCCACCTAACTAAAATTCTCTGGTTTTCCACTTTCATTTCACCAATCCCTTGTATTTCACCAGTTCTTCTTACAATCGTTGGGTCCAATGGAAGGAGACTCAGAGATATAAAAGGCAGAGGAGAGGTGACTTAATGCTTCACAGCTGTATGAAACAGACAACTTATTGTGCCTTCTTTCTTTTTGAGTCAGTATTTGTGGCTATGACAGAAAGAGCTTGTTTTTCAACCAGCTTAAAATCCAGCTGTTAGTGGAGGAAAGTGACTTGAAGTCAACCTGAAATTACTACTTGGGAAATATTTTGACAAATTGATTTTTTTTCTATACATTTGGTTTCAATACTTTTTGCACTTTAAAAATCATTATTTAAGAATCTTGAAGTACCTATGGAAATGGATAGTCATTCCAAAAAGGAAATGGTAAAGCACTGAATTTTGAAAGTGACTAATGAGATATTCCCATTTTTTCTTTTATCCTTTTGTTTTGACCTGAAGATATCTACAGATTCATTGTGAACTTCTGACATGCTTTTCAGTCCCCTGAATTATGGCAGGGATCTCTTTACGGCTTCCCTTAATCTCTGTAGGTCTGAAATGGAAGTCTGCTTCTGACAGCGAAAAATGTCATAACTCTGCACGCTTAGCAAGGGAGAACGACTGACAGACACCTTGCAAAGTGAAAACAAATGAGGAGCTCTAATTTAAAACCACAGAGAGCCAGCAGGAAGCTCCTGATGACATGCAGACGAGGGGCAGCTGAGCCACTGGTGATGGGAGAGCTGTTCCTACTGCATTCCCTCCGACCTGGCTTAGCCTGAGGGGCTTCTGATGTGGTGGAAGAGCTCCCATGCTGAGCTGCACAGCACGGCCACACCAGCAGGTTTTATTCTACCTGAAGGGGATATCACAAATGGTCTGTTCTACAAGGTGGATTTTTTTTTTTAATGTTTAGATTGAGTATGAATGAAGAAAACCAGACAAGAAACACTATATTAAAAAAAAAAATCTTCAAAAAGGGTAATATAAAAAATGTAGCATTTATAGGTAATTTTTTTTAATAGCAATTAAGGACTTTATCATGAAGGCTCGTTTCCTGGACGTACCCTGCAGCTCTTTTGAGCTGCCTATTAAAGGTCACTGTCACAGACTGCTGGTCCAGCTCTCATCCTTGGCTCCACCACTGACCTGTGCTGTGATCCTCAGCAAGCCAGGGCTTTGCTCGTTTCCGACCACGGCGCCTTCTCCAGTGACCCAGGGGCGCCACGTCCTGTCCCCGGCTCCATCCCTGCGGAGCCGCAGGGACACCCCGCAGCCGCAGCCGTCGGGTGGAACAGCAGGATCGGCGGGAATGGCAAACCAGCTGCAAGAAGCCTCACCCTGCCTTCTCCCAGTCATTACAGCAGGCAGGGGCTCTCCATTGCCCCAAGGACTGCAGGGTGTGGCACAGAATGACTACTGAATAACATCCTAGGTTTCGTCAGGTATGGATTAGTGATGGAAGTGACAGGTAGCAAACCATCTTGTCCCTCATTTTGACAGAAGCCCCAGTTTTTGGTATTTCAAGGCTGTCTCACGTGCTGAACAGGAGCACTGGGCACAGGGTGACAGGACAGAGGTGTTTGAACATCTCTGCAGGAGCTTTTCACTTCATGCTTCATTCCTGTGAAGTTTCTGTGACTCCAGAAAGTCAGGACCAGCCTTCGCAACATAAGCAGGATATGCTCAGTTTTAAACCAGAAAACTGACACAAAACTGCCTCTTTTTCTTTTTCTTTTATTTTTATTTATTTTTCTTTTTTCTTTTTTTTTTTTGGGGGGGGGGAGGGGTTTGGTTTGTTTTTTTTTTTTTTTTGGTTAGCATTCTCTATGGTTGTATTTCAGCCACCACACATACTATAGGCTCATGGAATTATTTGGGTCAGAAAAGACCTTTAAGACCACTGAGTACCACTGTTAATTGTACGTATGCATATATATTTCATGGGGCTCAGAGATGCTACATCAATTTAAAACTTGTAGGTCTTCTTAATGATAAGCAATGAATCTAAATCACTGGCAATGTGAATTGCAAGACTTTGGCTGGCACACTGCCTGCATCTAGGCCCCAGCTGGTAATGGGAGAAAGTCAGCAGGCTTTTAGGAAGCAATAGATAATTACCTTGCCAGGGTCTAGAATTTAAGGATGAGTGCAGGGGGAGGCCCAGAGCAATAACGTGTCCATAGGGAAAACAGGCCCACTACCTGAAAATGTTACTTTGAACATAGCATTTTGGTTTTACATGATTAGGTGTGCTACTGCACAGTTAAACTCTTCAGTGCATTACAGTACCAGGAAATGGGAGAGATGCTCTTTGCTGGATTACTAAATCAATGGGCTCATTAAGAGAGACATAAGTAGTGTCAGATCTCTAGTGATACCTTAAAATCTGCTTAGGGAGCCACTGGGACTAGAAAAAGAGAACAGTTAAAAGCAGCAAAAAAATAAATCAGAAAAATAAATGGGGAATTAAATAATCCCTCTTATTTTCCATGTGAGCATTCTTGCTGTAACATGTATCAGTGGCAAGTGGCTGCTCATAAAGGTAATGGGGGAAAGTGTCTGGATTTCTAACATTTGACACTTGTTTGCATTTGTCTCCCAATGGATCAATATCATCTAATACCACATATTTCCTTCCTGCCTCTCCAGCCCATTCAGCAGCACCTAACACCACTCCAGGACAATTTGCTTTGTT